GACAACGTCGTTTTTGTCTTGCTACGTCCTTTCCAAACCTTATAAGAGTACGCTCACCGCTTTCGGTCCAGTAGGAGGAGTGGACAATCAGCTACGAGGTAGTATAGTTGTTCCTGACACAAAAGCCCCATGTACCTTCGCCCCATAGTCCCCTGAACCAGCCTCTGCCTGAACCAGTTTTGTTGTTAACATTGACTTTTTATGTCGAACCGGTTTTGTTTCACATAAAAGATTTTTTAATTTTTTCAGCCTGTACATTTAGCTCGATCTCCTCTTCCGTTTCCAAGCGAATTCAATTTCAGTCATCCTTCGATACGCTCCGCCCACTCTCATATCCGGATGCCGACGTGTTCGTCATCGTCTATTCAGTCGTCGATCCGCAATCATTCGCAGAAATTTCCGCTCATTGGCTTCCAGAGATAAACCGTGGGAATCCTGTGGCGCAAGGTGAGAGTGGAACTGATTGGGACAATGTTGATTAGTTGCTGATGATTATTTAGGTCAGTAAAAAAAGATTTGTTTTAGTGGTGCTGGTTGGGACGCAGGTCGACCTACGATGGCAAACCTCAAAAGATACCGTTTCAACGGCTAAAGGACGGCAGCTCGCCTCACAGATTGGCGCGGAGTTTTTTGAATGCTCCGCCCTTACACAACATAATCTGAAGCAGGTATGTCTCCTGAAGGTGTCTTTTAATATAGAACAAAGTGAATCTCAAGATAAAGAGTTAGCCCACTTCTTCGTTTTATGTGGTGTTCCCTTCATATGCCTAAGATCGCAACAGGGATGAGCTAATTTAGTAGGCGGTCCAGAATAGAAATAGGTTTCCTGGATGGTGCGAGAGTCAAGAAGAAGCAGGAAGGGACGGTCAAAAACCAGGGAGTTGTGCCATTACACTGTCCGTTGATTACGGGCGTGACGAGGTAGCTGCCAACATGCCTCCGCCAGCGGTGCGGCTCCCGCTCTGCCGGAGGAGGTAAAACTCACTCGGGCAAAGGAGAGGCTACCTTTTTTCCCACTGTACAAACTTACTTTATACGGCACAGCCAAATACTTGCAACCATTGTCTTTGAAAAGCTATTATTTCTCTTCGAACCAATTATCTCACTGATATTTATAGATGTTCGACTCAGCCATCCTCGCTGCGCTCGAAGGAAGGCGGACAATCAAATCTCCTCGTCCTCACTTGCACACCTCACGGATCAAGCAGGGCTTTCATCGTATTATGAACATCACTAGAAAATTTATTTGATGAGCAAAATTGCATAGCCACTCGGGGAGACTGGATGTGAAATTTGAGGCATCACGACAGGTTACTGTTGGGCATATAAGCTGAGAACTGTGCACCAACCGTTCTGGTCCGATTCCATGTACCGATGTATCTTTTTTACAAGTTCCTTGAAGGGATCATTCATGATAGATTCAATCCTTCCTCCCAGCAAAAAGTAGATTACTTCCGACATTTGAGGGTCATGCTGCGATGTTTTGGATGTCAGAACTCAGTTTCCTTGGAGAACGTTCGCCAGAAAATTGTGCAAACCAGATCCGTTTAAAACGGACTTTATTCGGGCACTCTGCTGAGGAGCACTGCATCCACGCTGCGGAACGTGGGAAAGACCATTTCCAAACGTCACATTCGCGAGCCAGCCAGCTAGTGGGTAGTAAGTGTCTGGTGTGTGCCACTCGCCACAACGTGGAGATGGCGCACCACATCATACGCTAGGACCTGGCTACTGATCAACATCTTTCCTATTCCATAGCATTTTTCTCACCAGCAGAAGTACTGGGGTTTTTTTGAATGCTGGAAACCTTCTCGTTCTTTTGGTTACGCTCTTCAAAGGTCCTACAGACTTCAGAATAGACTACTCAACAGTTCACGTGAACGATGTCCAGAAAAATCTCTTCGATCGCCTTCCCCACATTTCACTTCTCTGCTCCGATTTCATTTTCCCTATGACTTTCTCTATACGCAAGCCAAGGTGAAATTCTGCTTTAAAAGTATAATTTGTTAATCTAACAAAGCTGACTCTCGTGATAACCTTTGATGAAAGTTATTTATCACTTCAGTAGTCTGATTGTATGTACGTAGGTGATTGTTTCCCCACCATGACCTCATCTTACTATAAATCTATTTTCTTTCTATTTCGCCCAAGGAATTTCTCTGTTTCCCAGGGGTCTTCGGGTACCCACTATACAAATGTTTTTCAATCCGTTTACGCTGTATTGTCTATCTTTCATGTTTTTATTATTGAAAAATAAAACCTTTTCCAAATGGCTTTATGTGAATGTTCGGACAGCACAATATTGCACAAATCAGGAGGAACTGGAGCTTGATAGAGCAATGAAAGCTTGAAGCCAAACCTCGCGATTGTATAATGTGGACGGCAGCGTTCGATTACAGAGCCAATTGTCGCTACTTGATTTTTCACGAGAGGAAAAACCTCTGACTCACTAATCGTTTCTTCCATGTAATGCTAATACCATCTACCAGAGAAAAAAGTTGTGCAAAAACTCAACTCG